GTCTTATGATGAATATAATTACATGAAATATACCCCCTCCCAATTTTTAATGTTTCATAGATCAGACAGCAGAAATGATTGAACCAAACTGCCTGTAAAAATTCCTGGCAGATAAATTTAGATCTTTCAGTGTGCAATCTACTTTAAGGATGTGTCATCAGAAAGACAGTAATTTTTAAAGAATTGTTTCTCAAAGGTAAAACTGAGTGAGCAAATCAACATTGGATGTCTATATTCCAACTTTTTGTTTAGGCTTCCCATCACCCCTGTCTAGACTCAATAGTTACCAGACAAAGAGCGCCAACAATCTTCTGCAACCTTGATTGCTTGTGAAATTCATAAGAATATTTCAAACCAGTGAGGGCAGGAAACTTCTGTAATCTCTATCATTATTTTTTCCAGGGTGAAAACAGCGTTCTTAGCTCAGGCTGTCTTGTAAAACTTGGCCAAAAAGGAGGGATCTAACATATGGACTTGTTATTAGCAATGAAAACAAACTAATGGTATTGGGGGTGTGGGGGAGCAGGCAAAAAGGTACAAAGCACTTCTGGGGGCTGCATGAAAGGTTAACATTTTCTATTTAAGATTAGTCAATTTTCTTTCCTGGGGATCACTTGCTTCCCTTGCTTCACAGCAAAGAATGTGAGGAATTACTGTCCTTAGACCTTTGCAGTGCACCATGTTGGGGAAAATTAATATATGCTCTATTTTATCTTCTCTCTATGTTTCACCCATTTTTTCTTAAAGAAAGACCCATGTTCTTTGGATCTCCTATTTCATTATATCCTCACTATAGTGAGAATAGTGCCTGACCTTAGATTATCCAGTAAGCTTCTTGGCTCAAAAGGCATTCCTGCATTTCTCATATTCAACATCTGGCATCTACCATTATACCACTCTATTATATTGATTATATTCTCTCTCCTGCATGCATATTCTCCTCATATTTACAGCATACATGTGGTACATAGTCAGTTTCCTGTTCTCAGGTGATATCTTTGCAATAATAATGCTAGGTCTTCTAAGTTTTATTTTATAGCACACTAGATAGCAATAAGTTAGCAAGGATTTGGAATGAACTTGTTTTTGTACCAGAAATTATTCTTGTATCTGAATATCTGAGATATGAGACCTATAAAAGCACATGAGAGCATAGATGTATCTGATTATAGCAGAACTGAAACCTGTAAGCCAAAGTCAAACTACATCATGTTTTAGCAAAATGTATGAACTCAGTCACTGAAAAAGACAACGCTATTCTGTAAAATAATCTATCCATTTTGTAATAAGCTATTGCCCTTTTCAGTTATTCTCTGTCATTCTCTGCTCAAAGTCACTGCACAAACTGGTTGGTTTAATTATACCATTTGTGACACACACATTTTGACCAGTATCTTCACTACTGATTTTTTATAGAAGTAATTGATTTGTTAAAATCTTATTTAATAATCGGAGCAAAATGCTGGGAAGATTTTTGCTACATCTCCACATTATTCTCTGAGTACCTAAACACTTTGATGTGTGAGGCAAGCCTGTGAACTCAGATTTAAGTATTGTCTTCAGTGGGATTTTTTCCCAGCATCTGATGGTTGGATTTACTTAATTTGGGTAGTACACTTGTTTACTAAATTAACCCATTTTATAAGCCACACATACATATACATAAAACCTTCACCTCAGTTACACCTAACCAAGCTTAGTGTGTTAAACAAGTGGACGTGCTAGGCCTTTCACTGATATGCAAACCCAGCCAAAGAATTGCTTTCAACAATATTCATGCACAAATGGAGCAGACACTGAAGGTAGGAATGATTCCTGCTGCAGCCCTTCTTAACCGTCCAACTCTGTTCAGCAGGCTAAGGAGCTCAACTAGAAAATGTTTATGGGGCATATGGGGTGATTCAAGAGAGAAGAGGGAAAGGAAATCCTATTCCCTTCCTGCATGATTATTTGATTCCTTCATTGAGCAGGGGATTGGATTTAATTGAATTAAACACCCTTTTTGAACCCCATGATTCTATGTTGAATATGGCCTATCATTCTATTAAATCCCTAGGGCAGTGTTTCTCAACCTTGGCAACTTTAAGATGTGTGGACTTCAACTCCTAGAGCTGAGAAACACTGCCCTAGGGTCTAACATACCTGTCCAGGCATTGTGGGTATGGCATTCCACAATGTTCTTGAACTCTCAGAAGACACTGAATCAATGCTTATAAAGCTCCTCAAAAGGTTTTTGCCTAAATATTTTGGCACGTTTACGCAGGTTTTCTGCCTATTAGGAGTTTGATTAATGGGCACTTTTTATCTTTTTCTTTCATCCATCTGCTTTTTTTCCAATTTTGGATTCTTGACTGAATAGTTTCACATAAGAACAGCTGAGAGGAACAGATGAGAAGAATAAATGTTACAAAAGAGACAGAGTGCATGCTGCTGCTGAAGTTTAGTCTCAAACAAAATCTAAAGCAGATTTGTGATTATTCCTCAGGTAAAAAGACCTAGGAAGACCAAAAATGGAATTGCTAGCATAATTTTTACAAGGACAGAAATGAGGAGGATGTTTTGCCCATTTCTACAGTATGACCAAGATTTTGCCTGAAGCAGAATGTGAAATGAATTTTCAGGTTCTTCCTCAAAAAAAAATTTTTTTTGAATGATAGAACTAGAGCATTGGTTTACTGCCAAAAAATGAAAAGGTAAAGATGCCCTTGAGTCAAGCTTGACTCCCAGTGTTTACACGAACACAACCAGGCAGTTTTTTTGGCAACTGTACAAGGTATTTGGCAGTGCCTTCCTCCCAGATATTTTTTCAATGTTCCTGCCTAACAGTCTGAAAGAGTGACATAAAAGCAAAATAACAGTTAATGGATACAGATGGGATCTGAAACAAAACTCTGAAATATGGGGAACTCCTGTTAAGGGTTTCAATCAACTCATGAGCCCTGTCCTTTCCCAGGATATTCCAACCACTTTTCTGCTTTTTTCACAGCCCCCACAACAGTCAATGCTACTTTAAAAGGGAGCTTGTCTTTCAGTCAATATTAGCTGATGGTTGGGCTTATTTTGGGCAGGGGCTTAGTCCTGTTCTGGGACAGTGCTTAACTAGGGTCCCCAATAACCAGTTGATGCATTCCCTCTCGTGATCTTGTTTTATTTGTGTTTATTATTTTTAACTGGTTTCACACAATGTTTTAATTGGTGATTTTATTGTATGCCACCCAGAATCACTTCATGTGAGATGGACAATTAAAGATATAAATGTTTGACTGTAAGCTGCCTCAGTTATGGAGAATGGGGGGTGGGATAAGATAAAGGCAATATTATGAGGACACAGCAGAAAAAGAAGTTACTATGGAGTGTTGGTGCCATGGTTAGGCAGAAGTGAGGAAAGCCCCTGAAAGAATATTTGAGCTGCCCTGTATCACATTTCTCCATAAATGCCATCTGATCACATAGAAAGACATATATGACAGACAGCATCTAGCATCTAACCTTTGCCTTAATATACTAGTTTATACTAGAATAATCTAGTTTCCTTGAATGTAGCTAAATTTTGTTACACTGTTTGTAAAATTGTAAAATTAGGCAGATGTTGACTCCCCACTGATGATCCCACCAATTTGCAAAGATATCATTATGTTTAGTTTTATTTCATTTTAATGCATTTTAATTCATTTTAAGGAATTTTTCAATGTACTTTTTGTTTGTGGTTCTAGTCTGTGACCGTAATAAAGATGATTCTACTAGTTTTATAACTGATGGAATTTCATTCTGAGGGGTGAGTCTAACTTGCACACTGAAGTAGCGCAGCCGGACACAAATTTACTAAGATATGATCTCTCTACCAGTTTACCTTCAGTTCTCTCACAGGCTGTTATTTGCTTTTGCCCTTACTTTCATGGAAGTATGATATTTTTATTATATCTTTGTTTAAGGAAGAAATCTTCATGTCTAAATTTTGTGCTTTCTACTTTGTGGTACATGGTTGCTTTGATCTTTTCCCAGAGGAAGAATCCACAAATTCACTTACAAGGTCTCTTCTTTGTAAAGATCCCAATAATCCTGTAAAATTTCACTGATGTATGGCAACTCTTCTGCAATTACAACTACATCATGTGGTTTGTTAAGACTGTCATGTTAGACCCACTTACTTGGGACTAAGCCCCACTCTAATGGCTTGAACTGTGTCAAGCAAATTTGAATGGTATTAACTCTTTTTGTACCTTCACAGATACGGGCACATATTTGTTCTCTGCATCTTTAGTAGGCAGACTGAGAAACTTTTATTTTTGAGATGGAAGAAATATCATTGTTTTTAATGTAGCAACAACACAGTTAAGCACTGGTGCTCCAGGAGTGAGTGGGAGCAATTTGTAAATTGCTTCATGTCTGTGCAAAATGAATGAGAACTTTAAGAAACTCTCCTGCTGTGGAGAAATCCAAGCCGATGAACTGTCTCATTTATTCTCATTAGCTGTTCTTCACAAGGACCATTTGCTCCACTGACTTTACTTAAGAGTCACCCCGCCTTTTTATGAAACTCCACAAAGTACTGTGTGATCCTAACACAAACCACCAGGTTCATGCCAAGAAACCTATAACTTCTTCCTGCAGTAGTGACCATTGCCAGATCTCTAGCTTCTTAGCAAGCAGATGTGATCTGTTCAGTTTCAATTGCACTGAAGTACAAGCTTTGGAGAGGAAGTGCTGGGTGTTTTAATATAAATTATTTTGAAAGCATCCACTGCTATCAAGGGAAACTTTGTTTAAAACTTCTGCCTGAGGTGGCTTATCTTTGCTCTGCAGCTGCAAAATGCCATGGGAATGAACTTCAAGGGTTGCAGTGCTCCTGGAAGAATCAGCAGTCGCCCAAATGCCTCCACCCCACACAAAGACATTGAAAATGTTCATCAGACCTATCAAATGAGAAGCTGACCCAGAAACAAGAACAAAAGCTGCTGTTGACTTGGCTGCTTTTTGTCTGCTTCTCTTTTTTTACTCACAGTTCAGTGGAATTCCTGGGGATGTCCCGTGGTACATAGGTCACCTCACTCTCCTGACAGATGAATGCCATTCTGTCCGAGCACTGACAGAGGGGATGCTGGCACCCCGAGCAAGCCCCCAAGAGGAGCCACACGCTGAGAAAAAACAGAGCCATGCTTGCTTCTATGTTGCCCTGACCTCCCTAAGCAACTGGAAGATAAGCTCCTCCTGCCTCCCACCATCACTCCTTTCCCTGAGGATCCGCCTTCAAGATTCGTGGTGAGTCATGTGATGCCCAAGGAAGGACATCTCTCTGCATCAGGGTTTTCAGTTCATCAGAGTCTCAGGAAAGGTGGGGTTACCATGTGTCTGCCTCTGCTTCATGTGGTCATCATGTACCTTTTGTACTCTAGTTCTGGATGTTCAGTGTCAGTGACAAAACTTAGCATGCTGAATATATTCAGAGTAGTTTTCTTTGCTGACATGCATTTGTACTTGCTCCCTGTAACCCAGAGTAGACTGAGTTTCTTTATGGCAGGGCTGGGCAACAGTTCTTAGGCCAGGTGGAGTGCCACAGGTGTATTTTCCAAAGTGGGTAGGGCCTGACTAAAAATTAAATTTGATTAAATTTAAATCCAAGTTTAATTAATTGCAGTACATTTGATTATTCCCCATGGAGTTAAATCTAGAGCCCTGCTGTCACATTGCCAATTACAATTCAGCGGGAACCTTTGATGATGCTCATGGCTTGGAGCCTCCAAGCCATCAAGGGGCCACATGTTGCCCTGGGACCTCAGGATGTACTCCTCTGCTTTATGGGATCACCACATTTCCTGACCAGGGGTTTCTGTTCGGTAAAAGAATATGGAAGCAGCTCTGTTTTTCTCATGTTTTTAGAACCTAACATAGGAAATTAATGTCAGGAGAGGAAATAAAAAGGAGCCTGAGGAAAATTTATGGACATGATAACACAGACGAGGGACTCAGAAGCACAGTGAAAGAGAAAGCAAAGCAAAACCTCTGAGGAAGGGAAATTGCCAATAACAACCACTTTTCATGGGAATTTAGGAAACTTCTTTACAAGTATGTGGTCCATCTAGCCAGCCAGGAATTATGGGAGTTGTAATCCAACTCATCTGGGCTGGGGAAGGCTGATCTATTTCAATATTTTATGTACTGATTTGCAGAAGCTCCCCCAAGTCTCATGCAGAGATTTTTCTTGTTACCATCCTCAGAAAAACTTTTTAATCAGGAGATACAGATTCCTAAAACCAAGCATCTGAACCAGAGGCCCTTGTTGATTTAGGCCTCTTATAAACATATCAGGATAAGGGAGCAGCTTGGGGATTGTTCCACTTTGGAGAGGGTTTTTCTGAACCAAGCAAGGAAATTAAATAAACATTCATTCAAGTAGAAAACTAGCATGTGATGGTGAGGACTAGGTTCAAACTCTTCTCCTCGGAATCTACTTTTTTTTTTTTTAAAGTAAGATAAGTAAACATTACGTGAAGCATCTCTTTATCACCTCCGCTCATATTTAAGTCACTCAGTCCAAACACATACTGGTTTATCATCTCATCTTGCATTTGTGTGAAGTCCCTTGCTGAGGATCAGCTTTCAGGTCATACTTAATGAAAAATGCTCCATAAATATTCTTTGACATAATGTGGTAAGCCATTCATTTCAAAGTTTGCCAAGTATTTTGGCAATGTGTATAAGCAAACAATGTGTAGGCACATAATAAACTCTTTTGTTTTCTCTGACCTGAAAGTGATCTAGTTGCTCTTAAACAAAGAAAGATCACTCCTGGCAAAAGTACCTTCCATGTTACTTAGGTGCTAAGAAGAGTTATTTAGTTAAGACTTAATACATAGTGGTATTCAAGGAAACTTCAGGCTGAAGGGAGGGAGGGGGAGGGAGTGGGAAACTCCATAGAGCTATGATGCAACGGTGATGAACAGATATTAAATCAGGAAATAATTCCCCAAGGTTGAAATGCAATTGTTGGGGCATAGGTTTGAAGGTCATCTTGGACCTTTGAGATCATTTTAATTCTCCTTTTTTATTCAGACAGGGAGCAATTTAGATTCTGCATTGTTTCTAGTTAAATCACTTGGAGGCCGAATGGCAGGTAGGCTACAGGTGTATACAATTAGAAGTTGGGGTAATGGAACAGGGAAAGTACACTTTTTAAAAATCAAACAGATTTTTGATTCATCAATTTTTAATTCTAATTTTTAAATTAAAAGTTGTAAAACGTTTATGAGATCAAATGGGGGGGGCAGATGAAGGTTGCATTTACTTTTAAAATATATACTTATTTATTTTATTCATTTCATTCAGTTTAGGTGCCACCTGACTTCAAACTGAATTGGTGGCTCACAATATAAGAAGCAATAAAACCACAATACAAAACAAATGGGGGATCTGGTTGTTCAAAATAAAAACAAGGGGCTCCAACCAGCCTAACTCAAGGCCTGGGTGGCAGATTACTGCCTAATTATTGCCTCTATCACTGCCTAATTTTTAAAAAGCTTGGCATGTTTACAACAACACAGGACTCCTTCAAGATTAGAAGTTTCTTCCTGAGAACTTCCTGGGATGGCTATGTGACCATTCACGTAGCTTCTTGTTCTCAAAGAATCCAGTGTTAGTATAAGCAAGCCAAAGAAACACCTCATATATTCTAAATGTATTGTCATTCTGTCTGCTCCCGCTACAGATTTTTTTTCTTGGAAAGAATGAATCTTTGTAATCTTTAGTAAGGATCACTTGCTGTCCTAGGACCATAGATTGCCTGCTTCTGACAGTGAATAAAGAACAGGCAAATTATTGCTCTCATGCGCAGTTCCTTCAGGTATCTAGCCGGTTACTGAGGAACACAGGATGTTTTACTAGTTAAGCTTTTAGTTTGATCTAATAGGGATTTTCTGAACATGGTATGGTCAAAACATGCCGTCTGTACCAGCAACTGAGGAAGAAAAAAAAAAGTCAAGCCAACCACTCTACCTTATCTGCAGAAACAGATTCTTCCCACCTACCACTTGACCATGACTTCTAATTTTTTTTCCCATACCTGATCCTTCTGTGGCACTCCACCTGGCCTATTAAAGATTGATAAATATGGCATTGAGGGAGACTCAAACAATTTTCCTTGAATTGTTTCTTCCTCTAAAGCTTAATAAAATAAATAAATACAAATGGCAAATAAACATTTGCTAAATTCTCCTCAAAACTATGTAAATTAGGAATCCCAATAGTGAGTTGATGAAAAAGAAGGAAAAATGAAAGTGTTGTGGGATTACTGAAGACTATTTCTGTTGATGGAAGGCAGTGAAAGAAGCCTAATTACTTGGCAAGAATTAGAAGAATCTAGTGAGGGCAGTTGAAGTAGGAAGCTTCAATGTTGGCTAAAATGGGAAATAAAAAACAGAAATTAGAGTCAGCTATCCATTGTGAGAGAATAGTTGGGATATGAGTCGATCTGCAAGCTTATGGGAAAAATGGAAATATCAGCTGAGGGTCATTAACAAGATATTGTTAATGTTGTTATTTGTTTATTTATGTTTTGGGCATTTATCGTTAATACTGGCATTGCATTACATTATTTTTTTTTTAAAGGTCTGTGAGAGGAAATGTCAGATAAGTAAGATACAACCTTGAATTAAATGTCATAAGAATATATTCAACCTCCTGCCCATGCTTCTGAATTTCCCAAAGATATCCAGCTGCCCATTGTCTAACTGAAAATGCTGGACTACATTGGTCCTTAGTCTGCTTCAGTGAGAAATGCTGCATTGGCTATGTACTAACTAACCTCACACTAACCTTTGTATACAAATTCAGATAATTGAAAACCTAATGTTTTTAGCTAATGGAATGATGCTCTAGAAAACTAAGATAGTATGGTCTCTTGGACAGCTTAAGAGCCAGTTAAATGGCTGTGTAAGTGTCTTTTAAATTTAGTAGCAGAGTCCCAAGCTTGTGCCACCAATCAGCTGACTATTAGTTTGATAGGAAAATTCAAACAACAAGAAGCAGCAATTGAGGAAGACAGACCACTTGTAGAGAAGATGGCCTTGAAGAAGGAATGCAACAACCATTATGAAAATATGAGCTTAGCCTGGTGTATTGGACAGTAGGAGTAACCTTGAGGAACAGGAGGAAGAGCTGGAACCAAGACAACAGTCAGATAAAAGAAATCTGGGCATAAATGTAATTTGAGAAAATGTTTCAGACATGACCCTCCCTAGTTCTCATGAAGATAAAGAGGAAGGGAGGGGGGAAGTGCATTCAGACTTGCAAGATTTTGTTACTGTAACCTTATAATAAAAATGTTAGCATTCATAACTCTGGTTCCCTATCTGGTATATCTTGAAGTGCTGAGATCTGAAAGGATAAGAGGGGGTAAGAAAGAAAATATAGTATAAAAGAGAGGAAGAGAATCTCTGTCATACTTTCAAGACTCTGTTATTATACCCTATAACAATAAAATAGAATTCCAGAAGTTGTAGTGGTGTGTTTCCTAACCTGGTCTACAGTACTTCAAAGCACTGATACTACCAGCAACGGTGGAAGAAAGGAGAAGCAAAAATCAGAGAAAACCTTGAAGTCAAAGCACAAACAGGAGGAAGGATGGGAAGCAGTGTGTTTGGAGATCGAACTGGGACCAAATCCTGAGGAGACCAAAAGAATAAACTCTGGTCTAGCAAATATGAGCCAAAGAGAAAGACTTCTTGGAGTTGAATTTATCTGTGTAATTTCCTTGGCAACAACATAGAAGTAGTTTGCCATTGTCTTCTCCTGGGATGTTTCTTTTTCTTACTTTTTCAAATTATTCTACAGTCCCAAGATTTATGCTGGTCTCCCATACAAGTACTAACCAAGCCTGTTCATGCTTAGCTTCTTCAAGATCAATGAATTTAGCTAAGTGTTGCTACCAGCAGTCATGAAGTAAAGAAGACACTTTAGCTGATCAAACTATTATTCTATGAAGAAGTGAACCTACTTTACAAAGTGGCCTGCCTAAATTCAAGCTTCACTTTGTCCATGTAACCTAGGATTAGAAGGAAACCATTTGACTTTGTAGGAAAACCATGGTAGGAAATTCCACAGAGTTAGAAACAATCTGGCCAATTTAAGTGAGGATTGGACCATTTCCAATGAGTTTTTTTT